TGTATTTTAAGCTAACAGACAATTTCCTCAACAATTAACAATTAAATAAATATTAAATTGATAAATAACCACAATTATCATAATTAATAAGTAATAATTAAATATAAAATAATTAAAAATAACATTCAGGAAGATTAAATGTAACCTAGACCAACACTTCTGAGTGTCCCTAAAGCCAACTCTCCATAGACAGGGCACGGTCACTGAACACTGTACCACGCAGCATGGATCCAATCTAAGGAAATAAAAGATGAACTTACTTGCCCTTCTAGAGCAAGTGCCTCAGAGCTCTGGTATCTGTGCTGTGAAGCACAAGGCTTACCCAGTGAAAATCAGGAAAAGCCCAGTGTGATGCTGGGCACGTCAGAGGTAACATTACGAAGCAATCACGAACAGTAAGAAAAGGAGACGGGAAAACAAGAACTTTTCAAAGTCTAAAACTTAGTCTGGACTAAAGATCTTAATATACAAATGCTGTCTAAGTCTAGAAGACATGGTGTCAGGTGGCCATCAGCATGAAATCCACCGCACAGGTCGAAAGAGGGTGAACAGACCTGCTGAGAGAGACTTGCTCCTTCAGCAGCTGGAGAACATATACACCAACCATATGCATTTTGGGGCCCATGGACAGTCAGAACTGACTGAGACAACTGAAGCCCTAGAAAACTGGTCAGCATGTTGGAGTTCCCTGGGTTTCGGGTGGTGGCAAGAAGCCAGAGCCTGTGACACAACAGCCCAGCCTGGCTCACCCTTGGGATTTGGTTCTGTGCTCAGGCTCATCCAAGTGCAAAGACTGGTTGTTTCACTGCTTCTATTTCAGTCTGATAAAGTACTACTTCCCAAAGTATTACAGCTTCGATTTCTTTTCAAGTGGAAACATGAGATATGTGTATTATGTTAACCACATCAGGATGGGATTCCAATGTCTCCTTGATCTCTACAATCAAGGCTCCCCACCATGATAGCTCCTGTGTCCGGCCGGTCCCTGGCTCCACCCTCAGGGCATGGCCCGCTTTCCTGAGTGGTCATCCTCCTGCAGAACACACTGTCTGCACCTTTAGGCTCTTGTGTCCTTGCCCATTGCTCAATCCTCCTGCGTTCCTCCCTATACCAGCTGTGTGGCTGTGCTGGGGCATCCGGGCACCCTGGGTCCCTTGTGCCGTCAGCCCCGCTTCCTGGCTTAGTCTAGAATGCAGTCTGGACCACTGGGGTTGCCGTAACTCTACCTCAAATGTCTGTTGCTATCTTTTTTTCATCAGTTATCTCAGAATATAGTATGAGTAGGTTCAAATTGAGTGCCTAGAGCAATCCCAGGCCACTCCCACAAAGGCACCTGTCCATCCCATCTTTCAAACCTTGGCTTCATCAAGCATTCCCTAGAAGGACACTGACCAGGGTCCTCATGTCACCAGGGGCAACGCGATCAAAGAAAATGCACGAGCTACTTACAGTTCATTAGCTTAGACCCTGTGGGGAAATCTGAAGTGGCACACATTTCCCTAAGTAGAATTTACTTAGTCGTTTGCCTAGACAGCCAAAAAGAGGTCCTTTTAAAAGAGGTCCTCTGGGATCCAGACAGAGCGGGCTTTGTTTCGGTTAAGTGTTGCTGACCTAGAGAGGCCAAAACATTACCTATAATCTTATTAGGAGATCCATCACAAGCAGTCAGAAAGCGACAACTAGATAAACTCCTAAATAGATACTCATAGATAAACTTCCTGAATGAAGTCTTCAATAAGGTGAGCTCATTATCCAGAGTGGAATAACCAGACTTGCAATGCTCAGCTTGGACGAACCCCTCTTCCATCAGAATAGCAGGGAGCTGGCGGTGTGCTCTTAAATAAAATGCTCGTTTGCCTTTGCACCTCTAGGCATAAAAATACCAGAACACTCTGGTTTTGTAACGTGTGGAACATCGAGGACTCACCTCCTTTGGGTTTTCTGCACCTTTCTTGGCACCTCGAGTTGCTCTGGGCTCAGGCGCACTGTCCAAAGTGGCTCTGGTCTTTCCAGACCGCAAACGCCTAACACCTGAATCTCCAGAGACTCCCTTCTCCTTCTGAGCCTTCGTCTGGGTCTTCCTGCCTTTCTCACTTGCGGTCTTATCTGCCGTGTGCCCCCGGGAGCTCGCACTCGGTCCTCCAGACCTCAAGCCTGATCTTTCCCTGTCGGCCGTGGCTCTGGACGCAGGCTTCCTGACGCCATGGTCTGGGTTCCGCAGCTGGGTCTCCTGGGAGCTGTTCCTGGTCCTCTTGTTTTCCTTAGCCTGGGGTCTTTGCTGGTCTCCACCAGTTTTCTTTTGGTGTCTGGAGCGCAGGAGCACTCTCTAAGGAAATAAGAAGACAGTCACAAAAGTCCCACAATGAGGTTTTAAAAAAAAAAAATACAGTGAAGAGAAAACCAAAAAATCAACTAAAGAAAATAAACTGCAAATTTTCTATCAGTTAATTTACTAAGACATTCAAGGAAATGCCTTGGCCACTCTGTCCCTGCGGAGAAATGACCACCTATTGATTAAATTATAAACTCAGGACAAATGTCCTGATACCCAATGTGAAGACCATCTCATCTAAACACTCCAGTTCCCAGTACTGAGGAATGCCCATCGTAGGCAGGAGATGAAGATCAGCCCTAGTCCTTTAAGAGTCACTGAAGAACAAGACTGCATTCCTTGAGTCTGGGTTGTCATGGCGACTTCCCTGCCCCACACCCCTTCTCAAGGATATGTGAACCTTATCAGAGCATCCTTATTAAAACTCATGAACACGCAACTACACTGGCCTACCTTTGCTCTGATTTCTCAAATGAACGATACATGCAACTTGCTTACCCCCTCAGAACTGCTAGTCACTTTAGTGCTTTTCTAGAAGAGAACTTTAAGGGGTTAGTCTAGTCCCCGTGCAAATCCCAAAAGGACCCTTGGCTCAGCCATTAGTGGTGACCAATGGAAACCTGTAAAATGGGTATCTGAGGATGAGCCCAGGTTACACAGATGACTACACACAATGGACCACCCTCCTGGACATGCAGCCAGAGTCCTGGACATGCAGCCAGAGTCCTGGACATGCAGCCAGAGTCCCATCACCTGATCTGGAGTGACCAAGTCTTCCACTTTGGGCTCCTCTCCTCTAGTTTTCACAAGGTAGCTCATCTGCTCTTCCACATGTTCAACTCCGTGTGTGACCATTGTCAGACGTGTCCTCTCTGGGAGCTCCGGTGCTGGACCTCTCTTGGGGGCAGCCGTCTGTCTCCCCAGGCTGGGCTGCTCATCTGGTGCCCCCTGCACTTGAGCAGCAGAGCGCAGCCCTCTGGTTCTCGAGACCCTTTCTTCTCTCTCAGACTTCCTCTCGGGGGGCAGAGTATCACTTGTGTTGCTTTGTGACGCTGCAGGGTCCCTAGTGTCCACCAAGACTCTAGCCAGCTTCTCCACGGGGGTTCTCAGCACTCTTCTGCGAGCTCTTGAAGGTTTTACTGGGTCTGACGTTTGCTTTGGAGGACTCTTAGGGCCCCTAGTGCTACTTCCCAGCTGCTCAGTGTGGCCTGGGGTTTGGATCATTTCTCTGGAGCCAGTCAAGTCTTCCTTGGGTACCCTCAGCCGCCTCCTGCTGCTAGTTACACTTGCCACTCTGTCCCATTTCTGCTGTGCAGGTTCAATTTGGGGGTCTTCGCCATCAACGCCGGGGGCCTTGAGAGATCGCGTGGTTTGCCTCGACGTCCGTGCAGTCTTCCCCTCGGCCGTCCACCCTCCGCTCACGTCTGCTTTCCTGCGTCTGGTCCTGGGCTGTGCCGGGGAGGTTTGGGGAGGCTCTGCTAGTTCTGGACGTGGAGAGTCACCGGGCCTTTCATCACTTGCTGATTCCCCAGTGTGGCCTGCGGTTTGGACTGGTCCTTTGGGATCAACCAGCTCTTCTAGGGGCTGTGCGGTTCCCCTGGGCGCCCGCCGTGGCCTCTTGGTGCCAGGCAAAGCCGCTGCCAGCTCGAGTTTCCGCTTCGCAGGCTCTGCGGGCTCTTGGGCACGTCCACCCTGGCTCCCGGGCTCCCTGGGCGCACGTCGGGTTTCCCTGCCCGGCAGCCTTCCCTGTGCTGCGGGCTCCTCCTTGACATCCACTCTCTGGGGCCGTGTCCTGAGCTGCCTCCTCGGGGAGGCTGGGGAGTCCTTTCGCTCCGGTTGTGGACCGTCAGAGGACACATCTGTGGCTGCCTCCTCTTGGACGCTGGCCTGTTCTCGGGGTTGAGCCTTCTTGGGCACCCTGGCTGGCCTCCTGCTACTGGGCACGCTTGGGGCAGGCTCCTGCTTCTGCTCTCTGATGTCTTTACTGTCACTCACGGGTTCCTGGTGTGCATTTCTGGTTTCCCGTGATGTTCTGGGGGGCCGTCTCTGTGCTGCAGGCTCCTGGATCACAACCATTTTCCTGACTCTTGTGCCGGGCCGTGTCTTTGAACTTGTGTCCATGGGTTCTGGAGATCTGCCAGGCATCTTCGTAGTCTCGTTAACAGGCATCAAACCTCCAGCACAGCTTAGTGTCTGGAAGAGCTCTTGGGAGCCAGTCAGGTCCTCTAGGGGCTGCGAAGCTTCCTTACACGCCCCCCGCCGTCTCTTGCTGCCCGACACACCAGCCGCTGATGCTGTGTCCAACTTCCGCTTTGCACATTGCCTCCTGGATCTTAGGCCTTTGTCCTCGGTTTCTCCTACTGTTTCTGGAAGCTTCTTTACTCCTAATGGCTCAGTTTTCACACGAACTTCCCCCAGACGTGTCCTGGGTTGTCTCTTTGAGGTTACTGGAGCACCCACTGGTTCTGGTGGTGGAGATCTGCAGGGCATTTCTGTGACCTTGTCAACAGTGACCGAGTTTGTCCCATGATCTGGTGTTTGGAAGAGCTCTTGGAGCCCAAACAGGTCTTCCAAGGGCTGGGACTTTTCCTGATGTGTCCCTCCCTGCCTCTTGCTGCTAGTTACACTTACTGAGCCCCAAGTCCGGGCTGCAGAGTCCTTTAAATCTTTGCTCCTTCCACCACCACCCTGTGGAAGTTTGGCTGTGGGTATGAGCTCCCCCAATACTCGCCCTGGCTTGGTCAGTGGAGAGGCCTCTTTTCTCACATCCATGTTCCCAAGACTTGTCTTGGGAGATTTCTTTGCGCTTTGAGGGGTTCTGGTTGGTTCTGGCTGTGGAGACTTTAAGGACATTCTTGTTAAACTAACAGTCACTAGGTCATTGGCATGAGCTGGTGTTTGGAAAAGCTCCTGGAAGCCAACAAGGTCCTCTAGGAGTTGGGAACTTCTCCGAGGTGTTTGTGCCTGCCTCTTACATCCAGTTAAGCCTCCTGCAGACTCCAGAAACTGCTTTGCGGTTTTCATGATGGCCACGGCACCTTCCTGCGCTGGAGGCCTAGGCGTGTGTGTGGCTTTCTCCGGAGACTGCGTTAGCTTCCTGACTGCTGGAAGCTCTTCTGTCGCATCCACCTTCCCCAGACTTGTCTTGGGCAGTCTCTTCATGCTCATGGGAGTTCCAGCAAATGTTGCAGATTCCAAAGGCACGTTTGTAGTTTTGCCAACAGTCCCTGAGTCTTTGGCACAGACTGGTGTTTGGAAGAGTTCCTGGAAGCCAGCAAGGTCTTCTAGAGGTTGGACTTTCTCCTTAGGTGTTTGTGGCCATCCCTTACGTCCAGGTACATTTTCTGTGGAATCCAGTCTCTGTTTCGGAGTTTCCGTCAGGGATTTCATCCCTTTACGCTGTCGTACCGGTGCTGTAGGTATGGGTGTGCCTTTGCCTGGTGACTGTGTTAGGTTCCTGAGCACTGAAAGCTCTTCACCCGCATCCCCTTTCTCTGTGCTTTTCCTGGGCAGTCTCTTTGTGCTGGCTGGGGTTCTGATTAGTCCTGGCTGTGGAGATTCATAGGGTAATTCTGTGGTTTCACCAACAGTCACTGAGTCCGTAGTACAGCCTGGTGTTTGGAAGAGCTGTTGAAAGCCAGTCAGGTCTTCCAGAGGCTGTGCCTTTACCTTGGGTGTCAGTCGCAGTCTCTTGCTATGAGGAACGCTGACTGCTGGGTTCCATTTTGGCTTTGCGGATTGCTTCGGTGGTCTAAGGCCTTTGTCACTGTCTGGTCCTTGGAGTGTGTGCGCAGTTTCTTCTGTTTGCAGGAGTTTCTCACCTTCTGAAAACTCTTCTTTCACATCTATTTTGCCCATACTTGTCTTAGATGATCTCTTTATGCTTGTTGGGATTCTGACAGGTTCTGACTGTGGAGAATTAAAGGGCATTTCTGTGACTTTGTCAACAGGCAATGGGCCATTGCCATGTCCTGGTGTTTGGAAGAGCTCCTGAAAACCAGCCAGGTCTTCCAGGGGCTGGGCTTTGGGTGTTCCTGCGTGTCTCTTCAGCCTGGTCAAATTTCTTACAGGTTCCAGTTTCTGCTTTGAAGTTTCCACAATTGCTTCGATTCCCTTTTCCTGCTTTGTTGGTGCCGTGGGTGTCTTTTCAGCTCTGTCTGGTGACTGTGTTAGTCGTCCAAGTGTCGGAATCTCCTCTTGAACATCTACATTCTCAAGACTTGTTTGGGGAGATTTCTTTGCACTTTTGGGGGTTCTAGTTGGTCCCAGCTGTGGAGACTTTAAGGATATTTTTGTTAAAGTAACAGTCGCTGGGTCACTGGCACAGACTGGGGTTTGGAAGAGCTCCTGGAAGCCAGCAAGGTCTTCTAGGGATTCAGTCCTGTACTTAGGTGTTCGTGACCGTCTCTTTCGTCCAGTTAAACGTTCTGTGAAATCCAGCTTCTGCTTTGGAGTTTCCACAATGGATGTGGCATCATTTTCTTCCTGTGCTGGTACTGTGGGCGTGCCTCTGCCCAGCGTCTGTGTTCTTCCTCCAACTGCTGAAAGCTCTTTGCTCACATCCACCTTCCCTAGGCTTGACTTGGGCAGCCTCTTCGTGCTCGCTGGGGCTCTGACTGGTCCAGGCGTCTTTGTGGTTTTGTCAGTGGTTTGTAGGCGTTTGCCAAGGGCTGGAGACTGGAAGAGCTCAGGGAAGCCAGTCAGGTCTTCTAGGGACTGAGCCTTTTCTTCAGCTTTCTCTGCTTGCCTCTTGATGCCCCTTACTGCTGGGTCCAGTATTTGATATTCAGATTCCTTTAAAACTACCTTCTGGGCTGACGCTGCCTTGAACTCCTGGATGCTTGCATCATCGCCTGTGGGTGCACTGGATGTGTGCATGGATTCCTCTGGCCTCGTGACTCTCCCCGGTGCGGAGAGCTCTTCTTTCACAACCTCACTGCAGACCACCTCACTCACAAGCCCTCTCCTCCTGCTCTTTGGGGTGTTGGCTGCTTCTGGCTGTGAAGTTCTGCAGGGTACTTTAGTGGTTCCTTTTTCCTGTGTTTGGGAGATCACCTGACTACCTGATAGACCTTCTGTGGAGCCACATCTCTGTTCCCTGCCACTTGATCTTCTGACAGCGGACGTCCTTGCTAGATCTTTTGATTCGACATTTTCTTTGTGTCTTCGTGAAGACTGCTCACTGTCCCGTGTCCTCCCATCCAGTTGCTGGCCTTGCACTGGTGTCCTCCTTGGGTGTCTCCCTGTGATGCCCTCAGCCAGGTCTGCTTCTGTGCCACCATTCTGACTTTCTACACGTGGCACCTGTGCACCTCCGAGCTCCCTAGATCTGAACTTGTTTGCACTGTATATTGTCTTCAAAGGCCCTGTCACAGAATCTGGAACCTTCTTCTCAGCGGGAGTAGTTTTATAGACGGTCTCGGGCGTTTGTGCTGTGTCTCCACCTTTTGAGCGTCGCTGTCTTAAGGCCGGGCTTGCAGAGTATTTGTCATACGGCTCTTCCGTTGCATCCTGAGCACTAGAGAGCACACTTTCTCCTGTAAGAAACAAAAATACATACAAGACATGCGTTGTTTCATTGTAATGTAAACAGCATTATATCCTCAGAAAGTGTGGTGTAAAAACCAATAATTTATTCTTATCTGCGAGGTGCAGGGGTCTGTCCTAGTCACGAGCCACTAAATGTTATTTGGTGATAGAGTGAGGCCATTATAAAGTGGACCTTAGGATCTACAGTGATAACTTAAGAAAAGTGTTTTTAAGAAGGGTCTTCTAAAGGCTGCCATGGCACGTGACAAGGACGGCATTAAAAATGGCTGTTTCTTGTCTCGATTTTCTCCTCAAATAACACAGCTTTTACTTTGTTTGCTGTCCACATCACACAAGGAATATCTGCGTTCTAACAAGAGGAGACACCAACCGGGAGTCAAGCTGCTTCCTCCAACAGGAACGTGGGACCAGCGCCCATCTGCCTCCCACTCTCTCTGCAGCCTGCGCCCAGCCATGGGGTTAGAACGGAAAACCACGGACACACAATGCACTCCCTTTTATAGTATGAAACGATCTTTTATTGGTTTAAAAAAAATTAAGGTTTTTTTTCCCTGTAGACAAGGTCTCTAATAATATGTAGTTAAGGATGACCTGGAACTTCTGGTCATCCTGCTCACCTCCCAAGTACTGCGATTACACACATGTGATACCATGTCCAGTTTATGCAGTGCAAGGGACTGAACCCAGGCTTTGTGTGTGCTAGGCAATCACTCTACCAAGTTAGTTACATCTCTAGCTCTGCAATAATTTTTAATTTGAATAATATATATGTAAATATGATAGGCCAGCATACTGTTTGCACTCTCATCCTCCTATAATAAAGAACTAAAAGCATCCAGAAGTCATTCAAAGTTATTAACTGAGTCAGATGTTCTTTTACCTACTGCAGTGACTAACACTGTTAGTTCAACTGCTAATCTCTGCTGGAGCAGGACAGAGATGGGGGAGATGGCGTTTTACTGGGAGCCTCTACTGTAGAGAAGGAATACAATACTGTCTATAAAGACATAAGACCTCCTGCCATTCCTTAGTCAAAAGTATAGCAGTGTCAGTGAGAACAAAATAATTAAAAAAAAAAAAAAATCAAACCAACCCAAAATCTCTGAACTGACGGGCAGAGGCTTGTCTCCTGAATTAGGTACCAGAAGCTGTTTTCCAGGCAGATTTTCTGAGTTGGAGAAAATGATGATGCCCGTGTTGGTCCGCTGCTTCTCCTTCCCTGGCGTCTTGAACATTTCAGTTAGCCCTAATAAAGGAAAATATTGAAAACATATGGCTTACATGCAAACAGCTATCCCATCCCCGACATAGGACAACCTAAACGCTACAGAAATCATAGATTCCCGGTATGCAGCACCTTATCAAAGGGTCTGTCGGGGGAAGAAGAGATGCGGACACTGCAGAACAGAAAGACTCCAGTAAGGGGAAGGGTGACCAGTGGCTGAAATGCAGTGCTGGCCTCAGGAATCTAGAGGTGACACTGGTGAGCACACCAGAGGACCATGTCTGCTCACTAGGATTAGACATTCTTTCATAGCTCAGGACACAGTATTACATGGACACAGCCACTTCTCTGGGATCAGTTCCTCCTTAAAAGAGACACAAGAAAGCTGAAGAGGTACTCAGCAGTTAGGAGCACTGGCTGCTCTTGTAGAGGACCTTGGTTCAGACCACAGCACCCATATGTTAGCCTACAACCTTCTGTAACCCCAACTACAGAGGACTTGTGCCCTTTTCTGGCCAGTGGGCACCAGGCACACACGTGCTGCCCATACATACATGCAAACACTCATACACATAAAAAAATCTTTAAAAACAATGGGTGGTGGTGATCTCATTAATGACATAATCATTAAAAAAAAGGAAAAAAAATATTCTTCAAAGCATAAAAATTTGCTCCTTAATAATTAGTAGATGTGCAAAACATTACCATTGAAATCTACCTGATGACTTTACATTCATGCTCAGGTGCCAAGGATCTTAGAAAGTAAGTGACTGTGACTAGTAATAATCAGATACATAGAGATTAGAGACGCATGTACAAACATCTAAGTGTTATTTGCATTAAAAATGAGCTTTTCTGTATGAAACAGTAGATTCTAAAATGAAATAGAGATCTTTTTTAAAGGTTAAAACCTCATTCAGTTTTACTATAAACCTAAAAATTTACAGCCAATTTTGAAAGAGATGCATCTTAACCCAGGAAATTGTTATTGAATATGTCAATGCTGTTGCAATGAAATGCTTCTTTTAATTATATGGTTATTAAATAAATAAATAATTTTTTTTAAAAAGGGTCAATTTTCTTTAAAAGTGTGACCTCCTAGCAGGTCAACCACCCTCCAGGGGATGGCTCTACACCAAGAGTATTTGGGCAACACAAACTGGACTCAATGGGGGGAAAAAGGCACAAAGTCAGGCTGGAGAGATGGCTCAGCGGTTAAGAACACTGGTGGTTCTTACAGAAGATCTGGGTTTGAATCCCAGCACCCACGTGGCAGCTAACAACTGTGTGTAACTCCAGTCCCAGGGGATCTGACAGTCTCTTCTGTCCTCCATGGGCATTGCATGACAGGGTGACTTACCTACATGTAGGCAATAAACATATACACATAAAATGAAAATGATAAATAAAATAAAACAAAACAAAACAAAAACAAAAGCAAAGGCATAAAGCTAACCCGGTAGGCTCTGGGAGGAGACAGGTACATACAACTTCTCTTCAATCCCTTTCTAATTAGAAAGGAAATCAAGTGAGCTAGTTGACCTCTGGTCTTCAAACTAGTACCCCAAGACAAGCCCTGACAGAGGACAGAAGCTGGCCCTCTCCTCAGGGGGATCCTCCAGCGTTCTAGGACTTGAGGGGTTTTGCCATGTGCTCTAAAATTCCTGGGTTTCTTAGATCTAAATCCTATGTACAAATAACATGTTCCCATTTTCAGTGCTGTCAAGGATGGACTGACACATGGACACACGGGCGCGCACATGCGTACACGTACACACACACACACACACCCTTTAAATATCGTCATTCCATTTTAACACCAAAAGGGCGGTACTGACAGAACTAGACACCCCAAATTATGTGTTTATTTACTGAATATTTTGAACACAGAACAATTTTCCATTCTTGGTGTATGTACTGTCACCTCATTTAGGGCAGTAACTAGACTTTTTCCATGTAAGAACTAAAGGGAAGCCCAGGCTGTATTCTCCCAAAACTTAAATCGTAAGATTGTTTTGGCTATACAACTCAGTTTTCTAGGTCAAATATATATGACTTCTTATAAATGGTATTTTACCTAAGGCATCATACAAGTTCAAACAAATAAAAAGTAACAAAATGAAACACTTAAAGACACTGAGAAACTGAACTGTAAATCTGACTACATTCATTAGGCAGCTGGTTAAATTAATCCAACTAGTGCAAAAGGTATGTTCTTTTCTCCACTTTGAAAAATTGTTCCTGCAACTAAATGTGCTCAACAAATGGCCTGAATGTTTAAGAGCAACAGAAATCATGAGTTTCCAAATCACAGATTTGGGCAGTGGAAAAAGCACAGGTTTCAGTGTAAGAGGAAAACCTGGGTTTGGACCCCAATTCTTGCGATCAGTTGTTACTAAACAAGTTCCTGAGCAACACTGTGCCTCAGTTGCACAAATAGGTAAAACTGGAATAACTTCTACCTTGACTTTATTATGAGACTTCAACAGGAATAAATGCACAAGTCCCTGGCACTTAGCACACACTCAACTAGTTTTAGTTAACACCAACCCAGCCCCAACTCTACCCATAAGTCTTAAATATATCTTTATCTTTTGTTTGTTTTTGTCTTGTTTTGTTTTGTCTTTTTGAGACAGGATCTCCCTGTAGTCCCAGCTGACCTCAACTCACTATGTAGACCAGGCTGGCCTTGAACTCACAAAGATCTGCCTGCCTCTGCCTCCCGAGTGCTGGGACTAATGGTGTGCACCACCACGCCCGGCACAGCTTTAATCTTAACTCCCTTCCAAACAGTACACAGTAGAAACCATCAGACATGTTATGGAACATGAAACCTAAAATCCACTTTCTTGCTATCAAGTCAGAGCAGCAAGTCACATTTTCATTGACAGGAAGAACACAGTGTAAACATCGGTTCAATTAATGGCTCAAAAGAATTTTCCCTTATGGTTTTCTCTAGACAGTTCAGTTCTCTAGAAAAATCTTAGAAGCGTAACACTGCTCAACAGCAACCAATCTACCTGAGACAGAAGACCTGTGCAAGTCCGCAGGAAAGGCAGCACAACAGCCATCACTCTCACCATCAAACACTCCCCATCTTCTGTTCACAGCTGCTCTCTAGATAAGGGGATGTACTTGAGATTTCCATCCCTGCTTCCAGCAGGATACAGAACGCCCACGTGGAGAGAGCCCTCTCCTGCACTCCCAACCAACTTCATCTTCTTTGAATATTACCATGCCAGAAAGCTGGCTCTGGGTTACAGTTGAACGCCCACGTGGAGAGAGCCCTCTCCTGCACTCCCAACCAACTTCATCTTTGAATATTACCATGCCAGAAAGCTGGCTCTGGGTTACAGTCACATTCATGGATGGATGAAGGTGGCACACGTCAACAAAGTCACAAACAACAGGATCAAAAGGGCT